AAATGAGTTTCGCGGTTCGGTCAAAACGTTTTCGGAGTTGCCTTCTTAGACTTTAATGACAATAATCCCGGAAGTGTGACTCCCTCTGCGAAAGAGAAGCCCGGCCAGGAACCAATATAACCCCGGGAAACATCTAGCCCCTACTGCAGCTGCGCACCTTTGGCCTCACGTTTGTTCTTTTAAGCATTCCTTCTCAGTCGCTGTCAGCATTGCACGTTTAAGGCCGCCTCGGTTCTTGGTTGGGTGTGGAGCGGAGGCTGGGCTGCCAGATCCCAAAGGCGGAGGGGAGGGATCAGCGAATGCACGTATCGCCAGCAGGATGGCGGAGAAACGCGTGTCCCGCTAGTACTTCGGGGGCCTCTTGCCCCCGAAGTACCACTCTTGCGGGGCTGCGTGCTGCACGCACCCTCTGGATTTACTCAAGGTGCGTCCGGGGAGGGAGGAAAGTCTCCTGCTCAGCCGCTTGCTTGACTTGCAGCCGATTTCCGGGGAAAGCCTCTTTACAACAGGCTGTGGTAGTGCTAATAACTAGGTCTTCCCAGCAGCTACTTCCTTGATCAGTTCAGGGTCCTGGTCAGAGCCGCTACCTGAGGCCGTGCGTGTTGTGTGGCCAGAGGCAGATCCCCATTTGTTACCATGGCTGCAATGGTTGCCCAGCTGCCATTTTGGCGCCTTTGGGAAGCACTGCCTCCTTCCATTCATCTCTTTGCTGCTGGAGAAATTCGCAATTGCCCGTGCGAAAGGCAGATGACAAGGAGAGCGGATTGGCACCCGTGGCTGTGGTGCGATACTGGGGCTCCCTCTTCTTGATTAAACAAGCTCTCTTCCAGAAAGACTTTGCCCAGGAGCCTTAGCGAGGAACTTGAAAGTGCCTTCAAGTTGTCGCAATGCTGAGGTCAAGCACTAAGGCAAAGAAATGTGTTCCTCGCCTCTTTAACGTTTGCGTAGCTTTTCTACTTCCCACAGTGCCCTAGAGGTGGTGAAATTGGGCAATGCTTTCTTGCTTCAACTGCCTGAGAGTTGTTGGACTAGGTCAGGGATAGGCAACCTTGGCTGGCTTAGGAATTCTGGGAGTTGAAGTCCATAAGTCATAAAAGAGCCAAGGTTGCCTACCCCTGGACTCATTGACTGAGGACTTCTGAAAGAATAGTTCATTTTTTCTCATCTACCCATATTTTCCGGCGTATAAGACGACTTTCTAAACCCTGGAAATCTTCTCAAAAGTCGGGGGTCGTCTTATACGCCCAGTCGTCTTATACGCCAGAATATACGGTAATTCTATTTTGTGGAAATCTTTCTTATCAAAAATCTTTGTCTTTTGGAAGAATTCTGGATATGTTCTGAAATTCAAGTTACAGAAGGAATGTATAAAATTACTCTTTGGGGAAAAGAATGTCATAAAAAAATCCAGGTTGGTTCACTTTTCCTATGAACTATGTCATTCTGGGACATTTCAGTGATAAACTGCACTGACTAGGACACCACAAGCTGCTTCCCATGTGGAGCATTTAATTTTGAAAATAGCCAATCCACCCTTAGAGAATCCAGAGAGAGAATGTATCACTGTGGAACACTTCAGAAAATTCTATTCCTGAATCGGTGAGCTTTCCTTAATTACAAGTATCTGCTATTCAGAAAAATCAGTAATATATATTGCTAGGGAAGAATTCTAAACAGAAATTTATTAGGTGAATTTATTAGATGTCCTTATTCTTGTTCTATATAATTTTCCTCTTTGAAAATAAAGTTCTATTTTATTTCATTCCTATTCTTTGAAATAAGTTGAATATATGGCTAAATTGCAGCAGATTAGATTTAAATGTGTTTGTTTGTTTTGTGAAACCCAACTTGTGTTGACCAGATCATCACTTAAGCTATAACATGGTTTATGTGAGTATAACATACTATGAGAATACAAGAATTGTGTTTTTTTTAAAACCCACATTTACAGTTAATTAAATCTGTGAGTTTCTTTTAAAAAATTCTCATGCTTAGGACTTCACAGTAACTAAGCTTTTCACTATAATGTGTTGTCTTTCACTTTATAGACACATACACATATATATTCATCAATGAAGTCTGATATATTGAAAAGCTTATTAAAAACAATTACACACATCTCATGCACAAACTATATAAGCAGACATCTACACAGAATACACATGTTACCATGTATCTCAATGAATGAGTTCTGAATCAAATTCTTGTAGCATTGTAAGGTGTTTTGGGAAGGATATTTTGCCAGCCTATGTACAGTATGTATGCACATAGGTGCTTCACAATAAAATCTGTAAAGGCTTAGATAATAGGTCTAGTACATCCAACTATCTACTCTTCATCACTAACACAGTGCTAGCAAGAGAGGTCGTACACTGTACTTTGATGCCTTGCCAGTGATTCAAAAGATGGTTCTAACTGATATATATGGTGTAATGATAACAAGCTGCAAACATTCCAAGGTATTTTTTTGCTATGGAGCAATGCCAGAGAACAGAACACATGGTAGGCTAAGAAAAACAGATTTAGCTTATGCCATTTAAATGGTCACAGTCATGCAGGCAATTCCTTTTAATAATCAAGCAGTTCAATCAAAGAGATTTATATTTTAAAAAAGTTATATAAAAAGAATACTAGCTCAAGGTTGGGTGATACATCAGCAACCAAAAAGAAAAACTACCCTGAAGTGATTTTTTTTAATTAAAATTTATTGAGAAAAACATTATAGACCAAGGAAGCAAGAATGACCAACTATTCTTCTGTCAGGCTATCAAATAGTAGTCTGACCACTGGGATAGAGGAGAACTCAACTTCCAACTATCAATAATTTGGGATAAAAAAGTAGCAAGGAAGCAGTTAATTTTATGACAGAAACGCATATTAAATAGGCAATAGATTATTTGCATGGTGATTACTGCATTTTATTGTATCTACTGGCCCATCACCAGTAATATCTACTGGCATAAGAACTGAGGAAATCCCAAACATTGACTAATAATGAGCAAGAACTTCCTTGGGGATAAAAAAAGAAAAAGATTCCAACGATTGCTTAATCAGCACATTGTTAAACATGTAAATCAAGTGGTACATCCATGAAAACCCTTTCACTGTGGAGAGGGCTGTCTTTGAGGGATGTAGTATTAACTGCTATATGGCTTAGCATTATCTGTGAACTAGACACTAAGGAAGTTGAAACTCAAGTACTTTGGCCATCTAATGAGAAGGAAGGACTCACTGGAGAAGAGCCTAATGCTGGGAAAGATTGAGGGCAATAGAAGAAGGGGACGACAGAGAATGAGGTGGCTGGATGGAGTCACTGAAGCAGTAGGCGTGAGCCTGGAGGAACGTGGTCCATGGGTCGGACACGACTTCGCAACTAACAACAACAGACCACTAACAACTATTTTATTTTTTCATTTTTAAAAATAACATTTTATTAAGTTGTGAAGTAAAATGCAAACTACAAAGCAAATAGTAGGACACAATGCGGATGAAAAAGGGAGAAGAAAGGAAGGGAAAGGGAGGAAAAAGAAAAAAAAAGAGATTGACTTCCGACTTCCCCTGTTGCAGTAGAATAAAGCATTAACATTGAGCCTCAACTTTTTACTTTTTCACAATAGTAAAAAACTAGCCATTTCTGTAATAACAAATCAATCAAATCAGTAAACCCAGAATCCAAGTTTCATTTTTTTCCACCTAAAGCACAAAGTCCAGAAGCAGTCTCCATGTAGAAACGAAGGTACTTGTATTCTTTTCTTTAATCAAAACAGTCAATTTAGCCATCTCTGCCAACTCCATCAACTTCTTAGACCACTAAGAACTATTCAAACATTAGCTTAGCACAAATGAGGAAACCTATATTACCATGCAGACTTTGACTCAATTAGTATTAGAAAAGAAAAAATAGAAAGAAAACAACACAATCTGCAATTTTGTGTCCTGGTCTAAGCAATTTAAATTTAAACAATTTGCATACATATTAAGCATACTTTGGCCAATTTAAAAGTACATAGGAGCGGAAATTAAAAGCAAAACAAAATAATAGAGAAATTGTAAGCTAATATGAAAATTCATTAATATGAACAGGAATTATGGTAAATTTATTCACTGTATACTTAATACAACTTAAGGCATGTCTCATTCTTATACTATAGAAATGCTGTTACATACTTAGCATATGTTTACAACAATCATAATATGTAAATAATTGTACATCTTCTTTATAGATTACTGAACTAAGGAAGAATGATATATGCAGAACTCTCAAAAGGCCACTGCTGTGTTGGAATTTGCAACCATCTCTCTCAGATCCAAATCAGAGTTTATACAAAGAACATAAACCACATAAGCATAAGGACTGCACAAAAACGGGCAAAGGTCATATATGTCCTTTTACAGCTAGAATGTAATTGTCGAACCAAATCAAACAGTCTGAGCATAAAAAATGGAACAGTATATATGAAGATCATTTTGGTTCTTACATCAATCAGCAATCTTTCATTGTAGAAATACAATACTATTCATAATCAAAAGTATTCCACATCTGTGGGCATATTCAAAAGTAAAACAGCACAGAATTATCAGCCATATTTTGGAAATGGACAAGGAAACATTCTTTATTTTCTTACCAACACTCATTATCTTTTCATGTTGCTATTTATCTTTTTATTTTCTAGAATAAGGCCAGAAACAATGACCAATCTTATTAATGAAGTTGAGTCAAGCTGGTTGAGGAATTCTGGGAGTTAAAGTCCACAAATCATAAAAGGGCCAAGTTTGAAGACCCCTGTGCTATTGTTTCTAACCTAAAAAAAATGTGTCATTTCAAATTGGAGAGCTCATTTTATGTTTGAGAAATCATAATGGAATAACTTATACCCATCCACTGCATATGAATATTTACCAGCATTTACTAGCTGTGTTCCTTTTATAGAACTGAAGGCATTTCAAACAAGCCATATCACCTTTGATCATTTTTTCTTGATTGGAATCACTCAACTCACCAGCCAAATGCAAAAACCTCAGGTCCTGTGATCTACTCATGAGGAGCAACTCTTCAGAGTGCAGGTGGGTGATCTCATGATCTCTCCTTTTTCCAGAGAAACTTTGCTGGCCAGAAGTTACCATTTGACCTCCAATCTCCACCGCAATGATGTCCCTTCTCCTTCAGGGACAACTAATTTGCCATGAATCCCCCCCCCAAGTTCCCCCTTAGATCAGAAATTAATCTGGCTAATGAACACATTTGCCTGCTCTGCTCCCAAATGCTCGTGTTTTTTTTAAGGATTCTGTAACTGTTCCATTAATAGCTTAGTAATATAAACCATTGCTGCAGGGATCAGATAAACTATGAGCGAATGGCAGTAATCCCCAAAGTGTGTGTCAGGACAAAGTAGTGTGTTCCTGCAGGCCTTGCAGCAAGGGAAAAACGAAACATAATACATGTGGCCTGCAAGTACAAAAAAAAGCCACCTTAAAGTTAAGGTTAAAAGGTTGTGCCAAAGAATAGATTAGAATCAGGATCTCCCTCAATTTATATTTCTAGCCAATGTGATAAAGTCACTCATCAAACTTCATTTATCTATATCTTCACTATTACTGAGCAATGTTTCTACAGACAAGAAGTCTTTTCACTAGCTGAAACTCTACCAAATTTCATTTTTAGAAACTGTCACAATAACTGCCACTTTGGTCCTACATAATGCTATTGTTTGAACTAGCCACAATGGTCTGGTTTTCACACAGTATCACATCATAATAGATGCCTCTGCCTCTCTAGTTGAACCACCTTATTAACTTATTAAGAATGAGCTAGAGACCACTCTCTTTTCAGCTCCTCCCTTAAAGTTTTACCTTATGAAGAAGTGGTCCTTATTATATTTCTCAGCCTCAGCTCCACTTAGGACTGCAGATAGTCCTAAATTTAAGATATGCAGGCAAATTTTCTATTCCCAAATGTTCAGGTTCTACCTCATGAGAGAAACAAGGGCTGAAAATTTACAAAGACCTAAACATTTGACAGTAAAAATCCTAAGACATGTAATCATTGAAGCAGAAATTGACAATACAGTATCCACAGAGACATCTATAACACCAAAACAGGACAAAATTTATTTGTAAATTTAGAATATATTTTCATTTTCCTTGAATTTTAATATACTGTATAGTTTGCATTACATAAAGACTAAAAACATATCTAAAGCTGCAGGTCAAAAACGGCACAAAAACAATGAAATTCCTTTTCGATAAAGTCTATACAGGTAGTCCTCAACTTACAACAGGTCATTTAGTGACCACTGAAAGTTACAACAGCACTGAAAAAAGTGACTTATGATCGTTTTTCACACTTAGACCATTGCAGCATCCCCATGGTCATGTGTTCAAAATTTGGATGCTTCATGACTAATTCAGATTTATGACAGTTGCAGTTTCCTGGGGTCAC